GCAGCGCCTGGCGAGGAGCAGCAGGAGCATTTCCTGCGGATTCCTCTCCCGTAAGGGGAGGAAAGCAGGTGCTGCGTTTCCAGCGAAGGCAAGATGCGACGGTGCCGTCACTTACAGAAACGGAGAGATCGGGTCGCTCTGGGTCGCTGCTGCGCGTGTGGGGAGGCCGCGCGCAGTAACAGCCCAGCATGGGCTTGACGCTCCGGAATGTCCTTGTTTTCCATTGAAACCCTGTGTGTTTGTTTTTAAACAGGTGGAATGGCATTCTACTCTTTTAGATGTGCCTGCTCAGACTAAGTTTGATTACACAGTGACTGACCTGAACGGAGGGCCTCGACCTCCCTCACCCTATGAGGAGCAGTACAAAAAGACCACATTGAAGGTGAGGCTGCCTTTCGCGGTGCTTTCCCGTTCCCTCTCTAGACCTGTTTATTGCCCTATTCCACTGGAGCCCTTCCTTTTCTTTGCACTTAGGGTGGTGCAGTGGCAGGACAGCTGACAACAGTGGGGATGTGGCAGATGTTTGCCCTGGGGCAAAGGCTGAGGAGGAGCTATGTGGAAGAAGCCAACTTTCTCTCACCAACCTTTAAGCCTGCTGAGGTCTTGTGAGTCTCTGATTTCCCCTCTGGACTTTGCCTTGCCTCTTCCCTCCTAACAAGTAGCCCCATGCTAGGGAAGCTTTCTGACCAGCATACGCTGCTCCACCACGTAGCAGACTGGCTGGCCCCCAGGCCTTCATCTTGCTGAGCCTGGAGAGCCCGGTGCTAGAACTCGCTCCTGACACCAAGCATCCAATTTCCCAGCAGTCCTGAGAGAGAGGCTAGGGACAGATTACCCTACGTTTAGCTGTTGACAGGGGTGTTACGCGTCATCATGGGGAGTGAAGAGAAACGGGTGTTTCTGGAGCACAGTTTAACTCACCATAGATTAGACAGCTCCAATTCAGGGAGGCAGAGTGCACCCCTGCTGCTCACACCGGTAATGCTGGGAGTGTCTGCTTTAGGAGGAGATAAAAATCACTCCAGAGAAGTACCAGTGGGTTATCTCCACTGTCTCTGAAGGGAAGTGAAAGTTCAGATATAGCTGCCTGTTTTTCAAAATAGCTATAGCAAGGCAAGATGAATCCCACCACAGGTTTCCAAAGCCACAGCGAAAGCAGAACCCTCCGTTCCAGCAAGTCCTCTCCATCTGCAGCTGCGTCCGCGTGAAGGAGAAAGTGCTACCTCACGGTGAACTCCTTTCTGTCTTTCAGCATCCGTTCCACTAATATTTTCCGGAATCTGGAGTCCACACGGTGCCTACTAGCTGGGCTGTACCAACAGCAGAAAGAAGGTTGGAGGGACTACTGACCAGTGCCTTGCCTTTTCCAGTCTTCCCTCGATGCACATACCTTGCACATCCCAACTCTCTTTGGCTCCTGGTTGTTACTTCTTCCCCAGTTCTTCACTCCTGGCCGCCCTCTTTCC